GTGGTCGTGTATTGATGATGATGATGATGATGATGATCTGAACATGTTGCAGATGATGAAACCAACCGCAGACACACATACACACTAACACACTACACAACACACCCACACCCACACCCACACCCACACCCACCCACACACCCACACTCAGACACACTCAGACACACTCAGACACACGCACAAAACACAACATGGAGCTACGCGGCGGTCCCCTTCCTTTGTTCTGCGGATGCGAGTATGCGATCCCACTTGACAAACTGCTCCGAGAGCATCATGACGACGTTGTTGTAGGCCTGCAGCAGCGAAAACACCCGGTCCCGCTGGTCACGCGCACCCTCCTGCAGATGTACAAGTGGAGCAGTGAGTGGAGCAGGCGAGCATGCGCACGATACACACAGACACACAGACACACACGCACAGACACGCACACACGCACACACGTGTGCTCACTCACCACTTGACTGAGATGCACGGCGCGCAGCGGTTTCAACTTGACGCTGTGAGACGGCACCTCTGTCGTCGTCACGCGGTACAAAAAGACGTGAGAGGAGCATGCACGCAAACAACACACACACACACACACACACGCACACACACACACACACACACTCACCACGCAAGGGTTCGCTGTTGATAAACTTCTCGCCCCGAGACACGGCCTCAAACTGTCTGCATGTGTCCTGTAACCGATCCTGATCTGCATTGCGTGTGGATTGTGGTTCATGCGTTACACAAACGCCGCGAGCTGGGTGAGCGGTGCGCGTAGGTATGGGATGGACAACAAGAACATACGACCTGTTGGACGACCAACAGGGGGTGAACCTGAAAAGCATCCATCTGTCATTGTACCTGCAAGAATCACTTGTGCTTTCACTGGATCTGGTGTTGCCATTGCTTCAACGCCTTCTGGCGGGACCAGCTTCTGTATCTCTGCATCTACACACGACGAAAACGATCGACGTCATGCTATCTTATGAGCGCCTAGATGGCAAGGTAAGCACATGCCCAACACACACACACACACACACACACACACACACACACACACACACAGACATGCTGACTGACATTGCTCCCAGATTTGTTTGATGTGTTCGTGTTCCTCCACGAGCTTCTGCAGCTGCTGAAAGGCGTCGTTGAGCCCAGTGGTCAGTGGCACCTGGTGCACATGTGTAATGCGGCAAAGCCGATGAGCGAAGAGGGTTGGGTGAGGGAGGGGGAAGGAGGTGAGGGGACGTGAAGAGAAATCGGCACACACACATGGATGGGCGCAGATGGGAGTCGTTCATTCCACACACACACACACACACATGCGCACACAAATGGAAGCGTACACGGACACACGGACACACACAGACAGGCACAGACACACAGACACACACACACACACACACATACACACACATATACACACACACACACACACAGACACACACACTCACACAGACACACAGACACACATACACCCAGACACACACAGACTCAGACACACACAGACTCACACACACACGCAGGACGCAGACACACACACACA